CGATAGTAGTCCGATATGTCAATACGAATAATTATTACTTAAATGTATTTCAGTGATTAAAGCCTCGAGTCTCTACCAGTACCACATATATAATATTACCTACTCTACTCGACATTGTATTGCTAACCTCAATTAAATTATTTACGAGGTGATAGACGTTAAGTGTATTCTGCCATTAACATTTTTACTATTAAACATTATTGAAGCTATAAAATAGCATTGTGTAATTATATAAAAGTAGTTAATAGAGAAATAAAGAAACTTCTCAAGAGTAAACCAACCCGCCTGGGAAACCAACGAATTCAGTCAGTCACATAATTAATCACACATATAAAGCCTATAGGGGTTGATTGCCAGAGCTTTAGATAACACAAAGCTATATATCAAATCCACGTTTTATAAATGTTTGGATTATCAACCGGTACAAATTGAAGTGATGAACCGATTATAACTCTTTTAACATTTTTTAAATTTTGTAAGGACAATTGAGTTTATTAAAAAGTCGAAAGCAAATTCTTATTCTAACTGAATAACTATACTACTTATGAAGTAAAACTTTTGAAAAAAAAAGTTAGAACTGTATTACTACTGGGACAAAATACGTTGGAAACATGTTTTGTTCTAAGTAAATTGTGTAAAGAAAGCATAATTACAGTCGTTATATTAATATTAATAGGAACCCTTTGTAGTTATAACGAGTGCTTAAAATATCACTTACAGTTATAAATGGTACTTGGTTTATATATTTAACGATGTAGGATTTTCACTGGCTTTTTCATTAGTCAGCAAGATCACAAACTTTTTACAACCAGAAGAAAGACCCAATGTTTTGAGAGTATGTATCATTATGTGAAGAGATTAAACTAATTATATGCACTTCTATTTTTAAGGTACCTTATCTAACTGGTAAAACGGGCCCTTATTGCTACCACTGTCTGTCTTCACCAGACTATCTCATGAACCGTTTATATTTTGAGCGTATATAATAATTCCATTTGAGCTGATATTTCATGTACCTTTAGTTCCGATGACAATGCACTTATATATTATCTGTATTACTATTAATTCAAAATGGCCGCTGTTACAAAATGGCGGCGTTCATATTTCTGAACATGAGTGGGTTGTTCAGAAATATGACTATCAAATGAAAAGGCCTAACTTATAGAATACAAAATACCAAATAAAAGTTTGTAAAAAAAACTTTTTTTTTTTACTTATTTTATTTTCTGTAAGCTGTTTTGCTTTCTATTAAATCAGTTATTTACAGTTACTTCTACAATACACAATACTATAGCTCAACCAATACATCGATAACTTTTGTCCACGCTTTGATATTGAAGTGTTAAGAAGTAACAAGCAAAATTTACTGTCACGTTATATATAGCCTGAAGCTAATCCTATCGGATAAGTCACTCCTTAGCTTGGCTTCCTGTCTGTAATGCCTCTTAGCTGGTCAGCGAACCATTAACAAAGGGAAACTTTATATGCTAACCGTTTAATCTATTGTAATTTGAAGAGATATATGGAGTTACTTTGAGAAATTCATTATGAAGTATTTTCAATTAAAAATGTTTTAGCTATTTTTTTCTTTAGACTTATAATTAAGGACGCGATGAACACTTTATATTATAACTAGCTGACTACTTCAACTTCTCCCGTATAGATTATAGCTTCTCGTAGATAGTTTCGTAACGTATTCGATGCAAACAAACAAACGATTATTAAAACGATTAGGAAAGATTTTATATCTTTCCCCTTTTAGGGTTCCGTAGTAATCAAGAAACCTTTAGAGTTTCCTCATGTCCATGTGTCCGTCTGTCCGCCATTTAGCTCTAATACTATTGGTACTAGAAAGTTGTAATTTGGTTGAATGAACAAGTTAATTACGTCAACAAAGCGGTAAAAATTTTTTTCAGCGTAGCCCCTACATGTAATGTGGATGGGGATAGTAATTTTTTCGGTTTCCCCATAGTGTGGGGCATCATTGAATAGGTCTTTCAACAAAATTGGGGGTTATCGTAAGACCATTTTTCGATTTAGTATTCTGGTTGTGAATTCTTAAACTTTAAAATGCTAATTTTCGTTAAAGTCTAGTTTGCCCCCTCTACCAACTAAACGGTCGTTGGTAAAAATTTAAACGGTACGGCAGTAGTACCTATATTAACGAAGTCAAAAGGAAAACTATCACACTTAAGTTGGCTTTACAAGTTTACGAGTAACAGTCGACCAATTGTATTATGTTAATAAATTAAATGTACTGCTTATGAAATTAACAAAGTTTTTTTGCTAGCAACTTTAGTTTCAAATTTAAAGCCTGCTTAAAAGTTATCTCAAAAGTATGGTTTCTTACATACGTTATTTGAAATAGTTGCTGCGATTGAAGAAAAGTGTTTTAATAAGATTTTAATGAAAGAGACTTCAACAGTAGTCAGTCAACAATCCCACCCACCTTCGGTAACGGTTCTTAGGTAAGGTTTTTTAATTGGGCTTATATCCTTGTTATCAACAGCAGCAGCGTGGACTGTAGTATAATTAAAATTCAGAGATAAATTAGCGCGAAAGATATAATTTAAAATATGTAAAATACAGGCAGTAATAACAATAAAACTGTCATCAACAATCCTAGAGAAACCTGTCACCTTGCTCTTTAAGTTAATATTTAGTTCATTTTGGTTTTCGGGAAATCAACTCAAACGATAATGTAATTTTATGCTCACCTTTAACAGCTTACGATAAAGAGCCCTAGAAAAAATAAAATTTGACACATATTGTAATTTTTTTTATTTTTTTTTATTCGATAGTGGGCAGACGAGCAGACGGATCACCTGATGGTAAGTGATTACCGTCGCCCATGGACACCTGCAACATCGAACCCTACTGTGTGATGCTAGCTATTTGAAATATCTAACAAATAGTTCAATTTAAGTGTTTATTCTTTTATAGCCCTATTTGATGTAGCGGTAAAACTCCGATAAGATTCACTTTTGCTAAAGTAAACGCAATTTTATTAAATTGTAAGAAAGATTTTTTAAATTTAGAGGCCTTACCTCGTAACGAATACTTTGATTATCATACTGTGAAAGTCTAGCAAATAATTACGTAAATATTAAAGAGTTATTTTTATTATTCTATTGATTTATTCATAAGACTGGGCATTCAATTAAATTGCTCTATTTATTAAATAGCTGGCCGTTCAACTGTATGGCTTTTTTAACCAGTTAGCTGTGTCATATACTCAGAAAAAATATATGCACCCAAAAACAATATAAATACTACGTTTTTTGCATCTCCCAGTGCCTCGCATATTTTAAAAACGAATCATTCACTGTATAATTTAATACATCCAAAATATGCAAATAAAAAGACGGGACAATATTTGGGAACAAATAGCATTGATAATAAGATAACCAAGTAAGTTATTTCCAATTTCATACTGATTTCAAATTCTTTTTACTGTAAGTGGCGTATATTGTTAATTACGAATGTTTAAATCGTGGATCATAGACACTAGTCGTATTAATATAAAAAACAAAACGAAATTCGACTTTGTTAATATTACAATCCGAGTCCAATATACTACAATCTTAGCTCTACAGAAGTTAGATCGCGCAAAAGCAGTTGTATAGCATATTCTGAATTAAATAAAGTGATAAATTAAATAATTGCTGTAAGTGATTTCGAAACCCCGACCCTGAACACTTTTCTTTTGTTTCATGATTTTTATCCTTTTTTGCATATTTTAATCAAAAGTGCACAAATTAATCGGAATGAATATTGCGGTAAGCATATTCGTTTTAAAAATAACATGGGAATACAAATTAAAAAAAAGCTCGGCGCCAAATTGTGCTATCATACTCCTTGTTCTAAAAGGTTCTGACTACGAAATTTTAAATTTACATTGATAGCCCGTTGCACAAACGTCCATTAAGTTTTTGAATAGTTTAAAGCAACATTACCTATATAAATTTGACATTCATTATAGCTTAAAGTGGACATTAAACCTTAATTGGCGTTTGAGCAACTGAACTTGAGCAAATATTATAAACACAGTCTATTATACATATTTGCTAATTAGGCAATATACGAGCTTTGTTTAGTTTAAAAATGATTAGGTCTTCCCTCAAGAAATTAATTAATTCAATTAGTGCGTCTCATACACATCAAACGGTAACCTTTCGTGCATGCTTGGAAATCTTTGATAAATTAATTAGCTGAAATATTCGTTATTTACAAAATATAAATTGTGAGATAATCACCGAGGAAAGTATTTTGTTACATATGAGTATAATGCTCACGTAGGAAACTTTTTATCTTTAGGACTCGATAAAATGTTTTTGATCTGTTTTGGGTTGAAACGTTCTTTGTCTCGACATTTATCAGAATCATTTGACAGTATACAATACATATTTATTTTTATGGTATCTGTCTATCTTTTTGTTCACTCCTGATTCCTTACGAGATTTTTAACCCGATCTTATTTATAGTAGCGCGTCCGAGTCTTGATTCAAAATTCCTGATTAGAAAATCGAAGAGGAAAACCAAATGTGTGACATGACAGGCTTATTTGGTACTAATTATGTTCCTTGTTTTTTCCACACGCTATTTATTATTAAGGCAGATGCTATCGACATAGTGTACGAGCCAAATGAAATGATAAATAAGATTTATATATTTTAGGAAAACTTTATTTTAATACCTTCGTAGGATGCCACTTTGTAATATCATGATAAAGAACTCTTTGATGATTTTGAAAATCTATAGAACTTCGCAATATTGTAAACAAAACAAGCTTCACTTTGTAGTGTCAATCACTGAAGTTATTACCTTAGAACCATTATTGTAATTATAATATTTTGTTGTAATAAAGTATATAATCCATTCAAGTAGACATGTTTGCCATTTTCGCTTCACTACTCGTTATGTTAAGTATAATAACGAAATAAGACGTTATATTTCATTAAGAACGTTAAAAATATTACAGTTATAAATTTGAATTCGTAATGGAAGAAATTAAATTCAGAAACGAAATTCCAGTGGAATCACAGTTGAATTCGCCTGTCGTTAATTTCTATACGGGTAGATCAGTGTTTATTACAGGCTGTACCGGTTTTCTGGGCACGGTATGTGATATAATTAACAATTATACAATATTTTTTATTAAAATCGCTTATTATTTTAAACAAATAAATAAATAAATATTAGGCTACATCACATATTATCAATACCGTCATCAACCTATTTATTTCTCCATTGTTAGGGATGGGAATGGGCCATGATGACCTAACACGAGAGCTCAGTTTAAAACGGCTTAATTTACCATCCGAAGCATGGAGGATCTCGAGACAATAATTTTTTTGGTCACCCATCCTATGACCGACCATTGGGAAAGTTGCTTAACATAAAAATAATATCGCAGGCCGAGCGCGCTAACCATTATGCCATTGAGCTCCTCACACAAATTGCTCTAATTCTAAAATAAGTAAATAAAATCCTCATAATATGAACTCAAACGGTAAATAAGTGTTTGCTGATTTCTAATATTATACCTATGTATTTATAAGCAACGCATATCGCCATAATCCTCGCTTGCATCGCGACAGCCAGTTTCATGGTGTCGCAGTTTCTGTCCTAGATCCGAGTGTCGTTTCGGTCATGTGGAAAATGAACTTTATATTACTAATATTGCCTCAGGTCTGGGGGTTATGGTAGTACCTCCGTTGTTTCAGATACTCTATAATGCATGTAATTTCGCTACTTGAAATCTGAGCAAAGTATGTGATGTAGTTAGTACCTACCTATAATATTTATTTATTTAGTTTAATCATTATATTTTCTAAATATAATAATTTTATCTAGGTATACAAAAGCCCGTTAAATTAAATCTAAATAATTTTCTAAAAATAATTTTGTTCTTTTTTTTTCTACCGACCATTGAAAGCTTCTAGATTTCAACACGCATTTGAACTTTATTTTTCAGGTTCTACTTGAAAAACTACTGTTTACATGTGGACATAATATAAAAAATATTTATATTCTGATAAAACAAAAGGATGACCAGAGAATTGACGAAAAAGTGAAAAATTTCTTTAATTCACGTGTATGTATTTTATATTTCAGTTAATATAAATAAATACATATTTTAATAAATTGAAACGAAAATAGAGTTTGATGGAGAGTATATATTTATAATGTCTATAAATCATAAGATTCTCATCTTTAATTATATAGTTTTATCGATTGCTTCTGTCTCTTGCGAACCTTTTTTGCCTTATCAGACTTGACATAATCTTCTTTTGATGAATACTCTTAAGGCATAAAAAATATTAAGCAAAGGTCTCGCTTCAATTAATGTTTGATATAGTTTCCATTGAAAAAAAAAAGTATAATTTCGTTTTATTTAATAAACAAAAACCGAGCACAGCGAACAGATCAAGGATGCGAGCGTGCCGCGGTAATTCTTCTTTACAATTATTTTGGACATATAACTAAAGAAGCTTTGAGTATAAATGAAACGACTTTGTGCGAAATGAAGCTTATGCTATTCTTAATTTTGTTTAATAATACTATGACAAAAAAACTGTCATAAAGGATTGACTAATTAATTAGTATAGTTTTAAGGCATTTTATTTTTATTTTTAGGCGTTCCAGAGGTTGAATGAGTACAACCCCAACTTCAGAGCAAAGATTAAACCAATAAGTGGTGATATTTCAAAAAAATATATCGGTGTCAATGAAAACGACTTATCTTTACTTCGTCAAGAGGTCTGTGTGTTATTTTTCTATTTTATTTTTTGGAATAGCATTAATTTTCTTAGAAGTATCAATTTTATTTGTAGCCAGATTAAGTTTTTGGTCTCACGTCCACCGCGTTTTGGAAGGCAGTCGTTATCCTGTAAAATTAGAATTGACGTTGAATCATTTATTGAATGGTTCAACGCTAAACCGTATCCATAGTATCAATATAGGTTTATATTGCTACTACGGATAATACTGAAGACACCACCCACTAATCTACATAAACAAAGGATTAGAGACCGATGTCCTTGTATCGATCTCTATACCTCTGGAGAGCTTGTCCATTTACAGTTGAGAGAGAGAGATAATATAACAATGTGTCCATGATTTCTTACTTTTTTATGTACACACAGCTTCACGTCAGGTTACCACAATTTGACTTACACCAGTCGATATTGATTTTACCCACAAAACTCAAAATATTTTAAAACTTAAGGATTAAAATCAAGTGGAGTGACTGTTTTGTATAACCTGCCGTGCTGTTGACTGTACATTTATCTTAGATGAATTGTCTATTTCTGAACCGATAAACTGAACTGATTGGAGTGATATTGACTTGTTAAACGAATGCACAGCTTACGTGGTAGCTCCAATTGTATTGAACATTAAATATTTATCTCTTCTGTTTTCTCTTCTCTCTAATGGGAAAGCCCTGTGCTTCACGCTTCACACTGGGAGCCTTAAAAATTTATAAGTTAGAGATAATAAAAAAACAAGACGGTTTTATTTTCCAGATATCTATAGTGTTTCATTCTGCCGCAGACACTTCTTTTGATATGAGTTTGAATGACGCTGTCAATATAAACACTAAAGCTACTGAGGAATTGTTGAAAATTTGCAAAGACATGCATCAGTTGAAAGTAAGTATGCTTTTAATTTAAGGTTACATTTTATACAGATCACATTACTTATTATTGTCTTTGTGGAATAGCTGTTATGATGTTGTTGACGTGCTCGAAGATGACTAAACTAATAACGCCAAGTACGCCAATAAGAGGTTACTATGTTCTCGTGTTGAGAGCGTGTACTTTTTTAAAATGGATATATTAACGAGGTGCCAACTTTAGGCCCATCTCCTTATACTTTTTGAGAATCTACCTGACCATTGTATAGACATAAAGTGTCGGCAATTTCCTTTCCAGGCTTTCGTATACGTATCAACTGCTTACAGCAATTGCAACAGAAGTGTTATAGACGAAAAAGTATATCGCTGTGATGTACCATTAGAAACACAATACGAAGTACTTGAGTATTGTAAAAGTGAGCGCTTGACTCAATATTTGCTCGGTAAGTATATTGAAAAGTAAATAGAAAATTTATTGAAGAAAAAAATATAATAATATCTATGTATCCAGCGCAATTCTTGTTACATACTCGTACATTCTCATCCAAGAATGTAAAAAAAATTGTGGCCAAGAACATAACAGGAAACAACTGATAGTTAATTATCCACCAACGCAGGAACTTGCGAGTTGTTTATATGCTTTTCAAAATCCTTTACGATCCATGTACCCCTGGGTACTTGAAGTCTAGGTTTTAATATCTTGGTTCCAGTCATCAACGTGATCTTCGCTCTAGTAGCAACCTCATTCTTTAAACTCCCGTTCATCAAACTGATTTTGTTTCCAAATCCTTTACTCTTACAGCTATACATTTTTGGAAAGAATGGTTTTCAAGAGATTGGAGCATGATTGGTTTCTGTATTCTATTTTGTATCTATATATCTATAATTTATCTATATTTACAAATATATTTGTTTAGGTATACATAGTTTCATATTATGCTTTTATTAATTTATTTAGTTGTATTAATTTTTTGGCCACTGTTATTTTTTTATTCTTATCGCCTAACATCTAGACCCCAACATCTTTTTCTGGTAGACTTGCAGAGAATGCCTTTGGCATTAAGTCCGCCTTTTGTGTTTAAAGCGCAATAAAGATTAAATAAGAACCGACAATTAAAAAAGATAACTTATGAATTCAGAAGTCAGTTCCTTCCTTAAATGTCTTTTTTTTTAAAGATATCTAAGAATTTCTTTTCATTAAATAGATAATTTATTTAATTCTAATTCCAGATGGACGACCTAACGCCTACTCATATTCGAAGGCACTCTCTGAAGAACTAATACAGAATTACTCGAATGCCGTACCATCAATCATCATCCGTCCTTCAATTAGTATGCCCTCTCACTCTGTTTATTAATTAGTAGGACAAAATTATCCAAAGTTATATTGAAATGTGTCGGTTTACGTTACGATAATACAGAAACAGTTTTGAATAGTTAATAGCGATAATATTGTATAGATTTCGTGTAGTATAAAATAGTATTATATCGCACATTGCCTGAATATTGTATAGAATACCAGATACTCGTATTATATAGATACTGGGAACAAGATATTGTCACACAGAGAGAAAATTTTGACAAAAATCATTGTTTTTTAACAAGAGTGATTGATTTCGTTATGAATATTTGTCTAAAACAGTAAAGGATCGATTATTTGAACGTGTTCGGAAAACCTCTTTTTTCTGATTTTCGAACTGTGTTGTTTCTGGCTTACATGTTTATCCATAAGTGAACATATGTATCTCATACTACACGACCTGAAGGCCTATTCTATTAGGTCCTTATATATGAAATTGGTGTTTGGTATGAGAGGAACAACAAGTAGAATATTTTTAATATAATATATTTATTTAATCAAAGTATAAACTATTGTTATAGTATATTCACTTTTGCAGTCTCATAGATAGTTCGTTTAAAACCGTTACTAAAAAACATTCGGACGGGAATCGATAAAATCTTAAAAGTCGATAAAGCCCCATTGGAGTTCAATTTTTCCCCTTGCAGGAAGTTATACAAATTTCGAAAATAATGGTAATCTGTTGGAGCAAGGTCCGGGAGTAAGATGGATATCTTAGACATTCCAATTGAAACTCTTCTAATTTGGTAGCCGTCTGTTGTGTAGTGTGTGGTCTAGCGTTGTCGTGAAATAGCAATGGCGTAGAGCGATTGAGCAGCCTCGGTTGCTTAACAGTTAGTTTTTCCAGAATGATTTGCAATTGCTGACAATAGACGTCTGCCATAATCGTCTGGCCAGAATTGAGAAAACTTTAATGAACGACACCGACACTAGTCCACCAAATGCTTACAAGTAACTTTTTGTGGTCAATTTTCGCTTGGGGCAGGATTTGGCTGGCATGCCAGGGTCCAACCATTGCGATGAGCGCTTTCGATTATCGTAGAGAATCCACTTTTCATCACAGGTAATGATTCGATTTAAAAACCCTTCATTATTGTGCCGGTTAAGTAATGTAACGCAGCAGTCGAAGCGCGTTTGCCGGTTTACTTCTCTCAATTCGTAAGGTACCCACCTTTCAAGCTTTTTAATCTTTCCAATTTGCTTCAAGGGGATTAAAACAGTTTTATCACTAACACCGCAGCCTGCAGCTAACTCGGACGTGGTTTGCGATGGATCCGCTTCCACAATAGCCTTCAATTCTTCATTATTAACTTGGGTCTCCGGCCATCCACTGGTCTTATTCTGCAGGTCAAAATTTTCAGAACAAAAACGGTGGAACCAAAAATGCACTGTGTTTTATTTTGCGACACAACTGCAATACACATCATTAACCCTTCGAGGCGTTTCCGCAGCACTGGTACCACGGTGGAACTCGTACTCGTAAATAACACGATATTACAAGTTTTCCATTTTTTAAACTGGGTAACGTAAATAGGACAAACAGAAGAAAAAAAAACAAATCAATGCCGCCTAACGATACACAAATACACGTGTGAATGGCTGTATAAATTTGAATTTGGAATTCCCAACCAGGGAGGAGAAATTTGTGATTAAAGTGGCCAGTACGACAAAATGCTTATTTCATATGTAAGGACCTAATATTTCTACAAAAAAGAAATTTCGTCAATTTGCGAAATGCTAATACGACTCTACGGTAGCCCGCAATCGTTGTTGTTAAGCAACTTTCGTGAGAGTCGGTCACGGGGTGAGGGTATACTAGCATATAATATCATCTAGCGAATATCCGCTGGAAGAACTCAGAGGGAAGTCCCACATAGCCTCGTCGCTCGCTAGGCGGCAGGGTATGCTTAAAGTATTTTCAGTCACAACACGACAAAAAAAAATATCGAGCTATTCCGTGCTCCGGAAGTCTCTTTAAGCCATTAATCCCGGCTGCATTAACAGTCGTTAATACTCTCCAATCCGCAGTGGACCAACATAGAGGGTCATGGCCCATGCTCCTTAACCATCCATAAATCTTGAGCCCCTCCGGCAAGGACGTAAAAGGGCAGCTGATGACGATGAATACTACTCTAAAGAAACACATTTTTCGATAATTTATGATACAACGAAGGTGGAGAGGGACCTGGCATTGCTTCTGGTGAACAGATAATTCTTTACAGATACGATTTTGCTTCTAATGAACAGATACCTAATTCTTTACAGATACGATTTTAACAAAATTATAAGAATGACATATCTACTTATGTTACTTAGATATATCTTAACAATTTCAATAGAGAAAGCATAATTATATTCCACAGTCACATCAGCAGTGAAGGACCCGATACCTGGATGGTTGAGTGGATGGAATGGCCTCAATCAAGTAATTTATGCGGGGATGAGCGGAAATATAAAATGTTGGTACGCGAACCCTTTGTGCATTTCAGACACAATCCCTGTGGACTACACGGCAAATATCATGATAGTTTCTGCATGGGAAGCAGGTGCAAGGTACAGATTTGTCAATAGTAAACAATTTAAAAATAAAAACGCGACTGTTGAAAATTAAATTAAAAATTAAGAAGACCAGTTGTATAATGACTTGGCTAAATAATTTTTTTCATGCAATTTTGTTTGGTTTAAGCAGTCGTGGTTTTTAATTTTTAATTTATTTATTTTGAACTTTTTAACGGCACTTCCGCCATATTGAGTATATGTTTTTAATAATAACCACGGTCATTCGGGCTGATATATTTTGAATGATACTCTCTACATTCAGATCTGTTAAGTCTTTCAAAAGTTATGGTGGAATAAATAAACTGTACATCATCATCATCTGCCCTTTTATCTCCCCACTGTAGGGGACTCGGGTCTTTCTTATGGATGGTTAAGCAGGATGGGTAATTCAAAAAAAGCGTTGTTTATAATGTTTTATTTATTATGTGTATTATATTATGCAATATGTTTTGACATAAACAATTCGAACTACTTTATGTATCATATTAAATATTATAACTGTCTAGATTATATCTAATGGGCCGTCCATTCGTGACGTGATGGTTTTTTTTTTTCAACATTTTTAACACCCCTCCCCTTGGTGGTACATGGAGAGGTTTAAGACTACCCCCTCCACCTAAATCACGTGTATTTATTTAGTATCTACAAAAAAATCTTTTGATGTCACTTTTCGGTTTAATAATCACGCGTTTGAGGGTATAACACGTAATATATTATTGCAACCCCTCCTCCTTTGTGATATTTCGTGATTTTTGACGAACCACCTCTCCCCCTTTCAAGCCTCACGTGATTAATAGACGGCCCCTTACATTTTACGGGTAGGACATAAGGTAAGAAGATATTTTGTAATTTATTATTTTTTGGGTATAAAATAATAAATTACGTGTTATAAGTGTGAAAAATATTACTAAGTAATGAATTCTAAAATTAATACTGTACCTTTTGTAGATTGAGAAGTAAAAATCAGTTAAAAGTATATAACTGTTGTTCTGGTCTTCAAAATCCAATAAACAATGAAACCATTGTGTCCATATGTATGGAATACAACGTAGAGTATGAGAAAGGTATGTTTTATGCTTATAATATGCTTTATAATTTTTGGGCAATATAGCAACTATTTGTTTCCGACTATTAAAATAAACAAGAAAGATATTATTGGATATTTAAATATGAAAATAATTATAATAAATTATTGATAATTATGTCCTATTCAAGTTATTAATGTTAAGTTGTCCGTCTTGGCGTTCAAAGGGGGAGGCCTATGTTCAGCAGTGGACGTCTTCCGGCTGATGATGATGATGATGATGAATGTTATTAAGCCGTAAGAAAAAAGTGTCCTGATTGACACTTTACCCTTTACAACCCCTAAGCGGTCGCATAAAACTTAAATGAGCTTTGTAACGTCAGCTATTTTTTAATATGATATATTATTTATTATTACGAGATAACAGTTTAATTAGTTTTTTCAAAATATATTTTCCTATCTACCTATCAGCCTTGAATGCTCCTTTGAAACCTATTCATTTGCAGGCACACAGGATTTCTATCGTAACTACCGTAGTTAAGGACTTTTATGCACCTGTTTACGATCCAATACTTAACGATCCAATACACCGTTTTATTCTATTAGAAATTTTCGTGCTCACTCGCATGATATTTTATTTTTCAAAATAAACGTTTTTATGAGTTATCAAAATTCCATAAAATAACAGACACTGACGATTTTTATTGATTCATGTTCTTCCACACTTATATTATTAAAATATTATTTTTCTAAATCAGTTTCTTAAATGTATTTTTAATATGGAATCATTATGCTATATATGATAAATTTCACAATTTTTTTTCGTTAAATTCTTGTGATTCAACTTAAAAAGTGTTTCAATATCAATTGTCTATTTAATACAGCTATTTTATTTCTTTTTCAGATAAATCTAAAATTAACAAGCTATTCATAATTCGGAATAATTTTTATATACATATGATATTATTCGTGTTCCTCCATATTATACCTGCCCTCGTAATTGACGTTTTCTATTTCCTATCACGAAGAAAATTGGTGTAAGTGCTTTGCATATATTTATTTTACTGTATATTTTTAAGTATAATTAACACGTAACTTTTAAGATTCTTATTTTAACATTCCTTAACTACTAATTTTAACATTCTTTGACTACATCATATAAATACTAGATATGATCTAGTGTTATATCAGCTATAAAGCGGACCCACCATTCTCGAGTTTCCAGTGACACAAACGCACTGCAATTGATTTTTATATGAATATACAACATATAAAATATCGCACTTATTTTAAAATTATATCCCTAATAATATTTGTAACAGTATCTTCTAACATTTTTATTGTAATCGTTTTAATATTCAAGAAATTCATTAACTATGTAATTAATAAATAATATTTTGATAGACTTTTAATGC